GATTTCAGTGACAGAACATGGGAAATGAAAGTGGATGTAAAGATGCAATGAGAAGATGCGATGAGAGCGGGGTCATTTTGTAGCGGTCTGAGACCCACTTGCGTTAGGCAGAACAGGATCCATCACTCCAACATGATGGCAGCATGACAGGGTAGATGACACTTTTAGAGCCCAGCGACTCATCAATTTATTCTACTGGCAGCCAAAAATGCACCAGCCTCTCCGCTGTGCCAGTTCTGAATCACGGTACTGATTTTATATCCTTTGGGTCTGGCCCAGTTTCTGTTCTCAGTTACACCGGGAAATACTTGGAATAATTCCCTTGGAGCCAGGAAGATTACTGTGGACCGGTGCCAAAGGAAGCAAGCTACAGCTCGTGATCTTTGACGGAGAAAACACATACATAACGTTGAACTACACTGCCACTCTTCCCTTCACTGCACGCATCGCTCTGGATCTGGCTCACTTTGGAAAGGCCCAGGATGGCCATCCAGGGAGCCAAGAGCCACCCTTTCACGTAATCGCCTTTCCAATCACAAGCTTTCCCAACGAGGAGCTTCAAGGACTAATTGCAGTAATTTGAATGAACAGTAACTAGGGCCTGAGACTTCCAGAAGCTCTCCAGCACCCATAATAACTGCTGAAGACAATGGGAGTTGCAAATGAACAGCAAAATCAGTTAAAGGGTTTAACAGAATTACTCTTTCACATTGTTCTAAGCCCAGATCCACAAACATTTCTCCCCTGCTGTTTTTTGGCAGTTACAGATTAAAAAATAAAATATTACATATATATAATGACTTGCATGCAACCCCCCAGATCACTCAATAACTAATAGCTATGCTTTATTAATACAGTTCCATTAACTCTCATGCACGGGGAATTTCTTTGGGCAAAGTCCTACACTGGCATCTGCAATACAGATCTCATCATCTCTCTGCAAACTTCACCCTTGGTGAATTTCTGCTGCCTGTTTTACTCTTATATTCCTAGCATCACAACTACATAATTTTTACCTGATTTATGCTTTTCACTTGCAGCACGACCACAGAACACAGATGAATATAACTCACATCCCTCTCCGTTCTCTTCTAACATGTCTTCCTTATTTATTTTATTAATTTTTTTTAAGACAAAAAAATCAGGAAAGCAACAAACTTGATCTCATGTTTGGAAAGTTAAAATGCGTGCTGTCCCAGAGCACTCATCCTGTCAATGAAACTGCTGAAGGGGTCCCGTGTGCCTCAGGAAAGAAAGGGGAGGCGGGGGGAAGCGAACGTGTACCAGAAGGCTGCCTTCCCTGGAATTTGGGTCTCTCTGGAGCTCGTGGCTCTTCGTTCTGAATGAAATCATCTGCTGCTGAAAGGCTTAATAACGCTCCTCAGTGAAGTCTTCTACCTGGACAGACTTATTAACTTCTCTTCTGGGAAGAGAGAGGGGAAAAACCAACACGGAGGCCTTGCAAAGGAGAGCACGGAGAGGGCTGTGCTTGCACACGTCTGCCAATGCACGGCTCTTCCTTGGCCACAGCACAGAGATACACAGAGAGAGAGGGGAAAGTCCTCAGTAAGGCACCTGAGACCTCATTTCTGATGCCAAAATTCACCTTTCTTCCCTGCATTGTCCTCCTTCCCTGCAGCCGCTGCTGTTTGCCAAGGCTGGGTGTTCAACAGCTGAACTGCCCTCACCTAGAGCTGCTGCTGCTGCGCTCACTGCACGACATGGGATGCACAGAGGTAAATGGTGCAAAGCCCAGCAAGCTGGTGTCCTGCCATGCCCTCCTTCTCTGACAGCCCAAGGTGCAACACAACCACCACTGCTGGTAGAGTACAACTCTCTAACTCAGGATGGGGTCCCTCTCCTGTAATTTCAGCTATCTAAACGGCAGGTGTCTGCTCTAAGGAAATCATTCTGACTCTGCGGGCAGAGGGAGGGTTCCTCAGCGCAGCCTGCACCCATTTGATGAGCTGATTTCTCAGAGAATAGCAGTTCTGCTCTCTGAAAGCACCCTTTGCACAGAGGGAGCCCAGAAACCCAGCCCAGCCTGGGGACGTTGCTCCTAGATGGCACCTTCAGCCAACACACGCCTGCTCCTACAAGGTCCATGCCTCAAGCACCACGCTAAGACCAGAAGGATTAGTACTACAGGCATGTAGCCACGGGACACAGGCCTCCTAAGCTGCTCTGAGGAGTGCAAGTGCTGGGGGGTGAGGAGAGGATGTGCCTTGACCACAGCCTTTGGTTAAATGGGTTTTCCCCAAAACCAGGATGCTGTGAGCCAGCCCATACATCCTGCGGGGAAGTACTGCCTCCCGGCCTTCTCTGCTGGGGTGGGCTTCTTCTGGGTCTGCTGTCAGCTTGGAAAAGTCCCTCTGCAATGGTCCTACGCTGGGACTCAAGGCACAGTTAAGATTCAAGTAAAGAAAACAAAGGTGCTTTCCCAGCATGAAAAATTCATTCCCTCCGTGGCTCTATCCCCTAATGAGATCAGTGACCTGATGAATGTCAGGTCACCAGTTTCCGGCACTAAAGGCTGTGTGCTGTTTTGTAAAAGCTTGTTTTCTTCCAGCTACCTTTTTTCTATAATGAAGGAACTGCTCTAAAAGCGTGTCCCACCACGTTCTCCAAGGACATATACAGCCATCACTCCCCCAAAGCCAATGGAGCGGGACCTGCCAGCCAGGGAGCAGGTTCCTCGTGGAAAAAACTTCACTACATACACACAAACACATATATATATATATTAAAACATGATTAAATACATATTAATATATATTTATATATTAAACATAAAGCCCCAAAGGTAGGTCATACTTCTCTAATATACACAATGATAAAGGTTTCTTCCTTATATATATAATTTTATGCTTTTATATATTAATAGAGTTTGTATTAATTCTGATATATAAAATCCATGAAGGTGAGTGCATATTTGTCTGTTTACAACCTTGAATGTCTCTTAATTTTAACACAATATTTCCCTGCTCTCCCTTAAAGAAAAAAAAAAAAAAGACATCTTTGTAAATGTACAGTTATTTCCCTGCTATCTGTATAGAGGATAAGTTATTAAGGAAGTGAGCATCAAAAATTATCCTGCAAAGTCAACGCTGGGGATTTTAACCCTTTCAACCACATCAGGTCTGAGCATGTGCGTTTATATATTCCAAGTGCTTCTGTTCACTGTATTATTGACTACGACCGCAGGACCCGCACAAAAATGCCAAGCAATTTTTAGCACAAGCTCCACATGGCTAGGTGCCATGCTCTTCAGATGGCATGAAGCCCTTCTAATAGTCCTTGCTGTTCTGCCTCCCCCCTCCAAAAACCCCATGATGAATGTAAACCTTCAAATCTTTCCATCGACCATAATGAAAGGGTAGTTTAGCAGCAAAAATGTGCTGGGACATCGTTACTCGAGTTCCAGCAGAGGTCGGGGGGCTGGCACTGGGGGGTGGGTGGGTGAAGCTATTTCAAGGGGCAATGCACAGGAAAATAAAGAAATAAATATTGACTTGCAATGCCAGAATCTGTGCAGTCGTTGGAAAGGGCAGGCAAGCAGAGAACACCAGGCACATTCAGAAGACCACAGAGATGATTTAGATTGAGAAAAGTGTTATTTATATGTATGTGTGTGCACATATATATATATATTTGCTTGTTTATTGGCTTTTTTGGATCTGAGCCTTAAAACATTTGTACGCAGGCATATGTTTGCCCATTTTGTTGGGCCAGATGATCTTGAAGGTCTTTTCCAACCTTAAAATTTCTATGATTTGAGTGAGGATGGGGGTGTAAGCATTTGCAGGGTTACAGGCATTATTTTTTGCCCACCAGCAGGAGTTGTGTGGTTGCGAGATCCACGTTCGGGTCCCCAAATACAGCAAGGGGAAGAAATTTCTGCATCTGCGCTCCAGGCAGCAGCGACCACCTACAGTCTGGAGAGATCTGCTCCAGCTTCATGGGCTGGCCATGGAGGAACACGTCCCAGCACAAAGTGACAGCGCAGGTCCCTACAGCCTCACACCAAGAGCCAGCTCTGCTGGTCCTGGAGAATAAGGGATCTGAGTCACTCTTGCCCTCCTGGATGGAAAATGCTATATTGAGCCTCTACATCTGTCTTAGGTATAATCATGGGTATGGCAACGTTCCTGCAAAACATTTGCACCAGGAAGTAACTTGACACACAGACGGAGTTCCAAGTTCAGTGAAAGAAGTGAGGTTAATTACCAGCAGGACCTGACATTTAGAAAAGGACTTGAAACGGGATTTTTAAACAGGCTTTAGGTATGTGTTTCAGCTTAAGTACTTACATCCAAAACTGAGATCCAAAAAGACCTCTTCAGTCACCTGGCCCTGGAGATCCAACATTTTCTAACACCTTCCTTTTTCAACCTGAAACCACCGTGTCTATGCTCCTGCCCCGCACATCCAGAACCAACCAGGCAAGGTCTCCCCTCCTGCCAGAGACCCTCTGAAAGCCAGCAACCAACACAAGGCACCGAGGTCTCCAGAGGCATTGGGAGAACCCTTAGCAAACCTGCTCTCGGAGGTTTGACTTCAAAGCACTGCCACCTGGAGAAAAAAAATTCACCAGCTCTCCTGCAATAGTCTGACGAGCAGAGCTTCTCAGAGCTAGTCTGAGCCTCCTGTTGCTTTAGACAAGTTTAAACCCACATGCAGCAGCAGAGAGGCTAGAAGTTGCTCTGGATGGAGACAAATGACAAAGAAATACGAGGTCCCTGTGGCCAGAAGAACAACACACGTAAGATCCTGCCTCTGTAACCCTGTGGCTAAGACATTAACCTCGGAGTGGGAAGTCCTGGATTTTGGCCTCACATCCTGCAGGTATTTCACCAGCTTGACTTAAAACGCACAAGCAGATGCCAGAGAAGGGCCTGCTGCTAAGTCCTTGCTTAACTCAAGCCACAAGTGACACGCAAAGCAAAGCCTAGGCAGATGGCCCGGACCTGAGGGGTCCCCACGATGAAGGCGAGCGTTACCTCTGCATCCTGGACATCCTGTGGAGCTCCATGTCGTCGCTGCCGCGGAAACCTTTGGCAAAGGGGTTGTTCTCGATCTTTAACTGGGTGATCTGAAAGGGAGGAAATGCAACGGGTTCATCGCAAGTCCAAGGCATGGCCTGGGAGAGGGGGGATATTGTTTATTAAACCCAAGCCGGTAGGGATGGGGGAGAAAACAGCTTTTAGGAACACAAGTCATCCTTCAGCTCAGGCACTGACCACTCCAGATGGGTTTTCCTCTAGATCTGTCCGCTGGAAAAATATCACCTGTCAACAACCTCTCACTTCTTTCAGGCTTGGCCCATACCTAACACATGGACTGCACAGACAAATATTTCTCACTGGAGGAAAGCTGGAAAATTACTTACTTTCTTTTTGCTGCTGGAATAGAAAGGGCTGTGCTGACCAGAGGACCAGCGATGAGGGCAGCATTGCCCAAACCCCACGGACACCAACAAGTAATGTCTCATCAATGCACCACCACAACCCAAGCCTCGTATCTTAGATGTTGGAGCTTCTCTCAGGCTGCCAGGCTCACCCTTGCTGTATTTCAGAGCAATTACGTGGAGTGCAGGTGCTCTGCAGCTGATTTCCTTCCCCACCCAGCCCCACACCTGCAGGCACTGCAGGGACCTAACTACCTTAGGCACTCTGAGGGTGATCCCACCTCTGGCCATCCTGCCTTGGGGGACTATTTCTCTCCCAATGCACTCTAGAAGGATTTAAGGGGGACTACTTTGCTACCTCCAGTGTCTAAAGCTTGCTGGCATGAATCCTCCTCAAGCACACAACTTTGGTCCTCTTACAGTATCTAAATTATAGAGCTGCTAAGAAGGTACCCTTACCCATGAGGCTGGGCCAGGTGTGGACTAGCTGCACTGCCCCCAGTGCCAGCCCCACGCCAGCTGCTGCCCCAGGGCTGGCATGGCAAAGCAAGGGCAGCTCAAGCTCTAGCTCATCCAGCAGAAACACAGCCATAAATTCACTGCTATAGGAAACAAATCTGTCCGCAACACACAGGGACAGAAATCAGGGACCCCAGCCTTAGGATGAGAGGAGAGGAGGGGTCTCTGTGCAAAATCCCATACAGCTTACTTTTAATATTTAGGCAACGGTTCCCCTTCTTCCCTTTCTCCATCACAGCCCGGCAGTCCAAGCCCTCAGCTAGGAGCAGGGAGAGCCACCTGTAAGGGCTCAGGAGGGCAGACAGCCCTGTGTTTGCCCCCAGAGGGACTTCACGCTCTCACCACCTCTGCTGGGAGCACGGTCCTGCTGCCCCACCAACAGCGGCGCCAACGGGAAGGAAAGAGCTCGAGGTGGATGGCTGGAGAACAGAGAGAGGCTCGTGTTCACCAGCTGGACCCATCCTTTCGCCAAAATTCAAAGAGAAAAATCTGGCTCGCCTCGTGTCAACAGCAGACCTCTCCAGGTGTCTGCACAACCAGATTATTTTGCTGTTTTCTCATCTTTTAGCATATTTTTTTCCAAAGCCATTCGTTTACTTGCCCTTTTTGCCTAATTCAGCCCCAAATCTCACACACAGACCCCATCACCCACATGTGCTCATCCCCATGGGTGTTCCCATTAAATCAGAACCTAATTGAGTACACAAACAAGCACTGCTTTTTCTTTTTTTTTTTGTCACATATTTCAGATTTCAAAGAGAAGTGTGAACAAACAATATTTTTGGACCGATATGCCATTTGAGATGTTCTCTAGCAGTAAAACCTGGACAAATTTTATAATTAAAAGCCCTGAAGAATTAGACAACCAGCTTTTTATTTCACAAAGAGACTGCCTATCGGTTTCCACCATCAAGGTGGTGGCTCTTCTATAATGAATAATAGATATTATTCAAACGTTGAATGCTTGTGCTATTTAATCTACATTCTGAAGCACACAAAATGTACAAGTTGTCCTCATTGCCGAACCCAATGGCAATATTTGCTTGCATAAGTGAAGTCCTTCACGGAGTGAGGATTTACAGTATTGGCACGGGCATCCCGCCGTACAAAGGGCCGGATTCATCCCAACCTGACCGTAGGCATTTTAACCAAGGCGCCTGCACTGGGGACCTTGTCTCCGGGTGTTCCTGCTGGAATAGAGGGATGGAGGGAGATGGGCACTGCCAGAGGACACGCAGGCCCTGGAGTGGGCAGCATCACCTTCGCGGGTCCCAAACTCTCTGCTAACTGAAGGAGGAACCATCAACATGTTGTCCCTCTATGTAAGCACCTTGGTTAAATGCCCCATTTGACAAATCAAGCCTTTAGTCTCCCACAAACATCAGACAAAATATCGTAAGTGACCTCAATCTTGTGAACATGTTGCTTTAGGAGAAGTTCCCTAACCCTCATTGGGAACACTATTACTAACAATAGGATTAATATGTGTTGGTAGCAGAAAGCCCCAAGTGAGGCACAGCAAACTTCAAACACCCTAAAATTCAGGATCTGCTACCTCGAAGGTATCTAGAAACCATGGTCCTACAGAAGGCTTTAAATTATGTCTGAGCTCTTTGCTGTGCTTCAGGTGGATTTCAGCAGGAGCTTTTAGAGCAGCTCCTCTAGGTGATACCTTGGGATACCAACCCTAGCACCAACTCCAAGCCAGTTCTAAAAAAAAATGCACACAACAAACAGAAAATAACAAGCAACCTGGTGAATCTCTGCTTTAGAAAACAGCCCTGTGAAAAGTATTTTGTTTGGCTTCTTTTTGTCTTACTTACAAACTATCTGAGAGGTGGAAAAGCAAACAAATGGGTGGAAATTACCTTCTTCTGGATCAACTTTGCCACAGCAAAACTCTGCTTAATTGACTGTAACTCACTGGGGGTGGGGACAAAAAGCTGTCAGAAAGTCAAATAAAAATTACATCATTAAGAATAAAAAAAAAAAAAAAAAACACGTCCTGCAAGGTCATTAAGACAGAACGCCCGAGGGTAAATTATATAGCACGGCTTCAATAAAACTGTAGGGCTTTGTTTATTAATTTGTTACTGCAAGAAAGTGATGTCAAAGTTAGTTTCTGACCACTGATTGCTAGTGCTGCTGCAGATCCTCCTGAAATGAGAGCTTTCCCCAGTGAAGCCTTCCTGACTTACACTTCTCAGTGCCTGTCCGACCCACGGGTTCATCTTCACTTTAACGGGAAGCGACAGTTCCCAATGAAATCTCAGTGCCGCTCCTCCATGCTCCTTTCTCTGGGCTAACTGACCACAAAGCACGTCTGCTGAGACATTTCCAACGGCATCTTTCTCTCCAGCATGATAAAATTTAGCCTTGCATCTATTTAGATGGTAGAAACATGTTTCCTTTACTTTTTTTTTCTTAGCACAGCCAAGTATTTATGCAAGTACGTGTCTCTACAGACTCATAAATATTGCTATGGCCATGGTTAAAACTATCAATTAATATTGATAATTTTTTTCTCAATTGCTTATAACTCAGCAAAACTTTTTTTATGGCTGAAATGTTCCGCACCAGGTGTCCGCTCTGGGCTCCTTTTTATGGACTTATTTTCCTATCAACCAAACCTGATCCTTGCTTTCTGAGCAACACAGCCAAGGGAAAACACACTGCTCTGCCCCCCGGGGCTCTCCTGGAGGCTATCCCGAAGCTTTCCTAAAAGCTGGGCATTTTGGAAAATGCCTGCAGGTGACCATGGCCCTACAGCCACTGTGCTAAGAGCAACTGGGAGGCCGGGCCTCCGGCTTGAAAGCACAGAGGGTTTTTTCTTCTGCGCTCTCACATACCCCAGGTGAAACCAAGTCAGCGTGGAGGAGGAGGAAGCCAAGTCAGGGCAGCGGGAAGGAAAAGAACTGGATGAAGACGAGGTGGCTGCTGAGCCTACGGACATCTGGCTGGGCCACGCGGAGGAGCTGGATAGGGAATGGGGGCTCGGAGCCCAAGGGAAAGGCCAGGGGAAGGGGGAGGCTGCTGGCAGGGGGGAGGATGCCGAACCCAGAAGCCAGTGAAGGAAATGGGAGGGACTGGGAGCCAGTGGCTGGTCGGAGTTACTGGTGTGAGACAGAGGGGCCCATTGAGGAGGCTGTTGGCTGAACTGGGAGGGCGAGCAGAGACAGACCCTGCACAGTGCCTGGGGGGGAGGAGGTGGGGAAGGGCCAGAGAGGAGAGAGGCAAGGTGCCCGTGCTCAGCTTGGGGAGGGGGCCTGTATCAAGGGACCCAATGGGGCCAGGCATGGGCTCAGCACCCTGTCCTGGAGCTGCTGGACAGATAGGGACTAGACTGGGACTGAGAGGCAGAGCAGTGGCTCAGAGAGGGGCTGCAAAGGCCACGAGGCCTCCTGAAGGAAGCACTTTGCCACCAAACCCTTGAAAGCAGGGCTGCAAAGAGCCCCCATGGGGCGCAGCAAGAGAAGAAGAGCTCAGGTCACCAAGAAGGTCCCTGAGCCACCAAGAGATGCACAAAATGCTGGTGACGAAGAAGAGACACGTGGTCATCACCCCATGGGATGCCAGCCAGGCCCCACGTTCATAGCCTCTGATGGACCAAAGCAATGGATGCGGCCACCTGCGACCAAAGCCAAGGAGAAGCCAGATCCCAAAGCAACAAATCCTGAGCCCAAAGACCTGCCCACGCCTGGCAGCACCTACACCCACAATGTCCTGTCAACAGAGCAACAAAAGCACTTGGAGCAGAAAGGCTGAAAGCCATCATTGCCCATCAGCTACCTGGGAATGCACCCAACCTGTCTTCATGCTCTCCTCATCACTACAGTACCCACAGCATTGCAGCTAGGGCTGATGTTTCCTGAAAGGAATTTGGGCTACCAAGAATGTTAAATAACTTAGGGGGTAAAAAAAAAAAAAAAAAAAAATCAGCATAAAACCGGATATCCTAAGGGGGAAAAACAATATAAAGCCCAAGTCCAGCTAACGGGGAAAGTAGGTTGTAAAAATTAATGAGAATAATTGTTGTGAATTCTTGCTTTTGAAAGAACCCTCAAGAGGGCAGAACCTTAATTATTTCTGTCTATTAGGGTTCATTTCCTGGTCCTAAGTAGAGAGCTAGTACCTAATAAATACGAGCTAGTAACACAATGATTTAAGCTACAGTGAAACGGTACTTAACTTGGGGGGGGGAGTTAATATTTGGGAATCAACCTGATTGCAAGCACCCATTGTGTAAACGGCAAGGAAATGAAATGCGCATGTGACCTATTTTAACACCTCAATATTTCTGGGGTCTTTTCTCAGGGCTGTGGAGAGGGGGGAGGTGGCCAACCGAGCTGCTGACAAGCACACTGAAAACTTTACAAAAACTTTCTTCGTAGCTTAACCCTCCTTTTGGGGAGCAGGGCTGGGGAGGAGGAGAGCCCAGTGGGCTTAAACGTCTTTGCAGGCTGCCTAAAATATCAGGGGAAATAAGCACAAGCCCTGTATGGGGATTGCAGCTGTGCTATTGAAATAAATTGACTGATCCAAAATCAGGCAGGTATTTCTATAAGCTGTGTAAGCACAGACTCAAACGCACTTATGGGCAAGTCATACAATTAATACCGTGATATAATTCACCTATAACGCAGCTCTTGAAACCTGAAACATGGGTACGTATAGATTATTGTGTATATATGCGAGTAAAACGTGTCAGTGAATAAAAGCTGCGTGTATAAAATGCTTCAGTGTATAAAAACTGTGTGGAGAGGAGGATTTGTGTGAAGGGTGCTCTCCAGGTGATGGGTAGGAGAGAGAGTTGTAAATGGGAATAAATAGGTAGTGCACAGATGTGAGGATGGATGGATGGGCAGACCCTCCCTGGAGCTCTGCACAGCCAGCCTGCCATCACCGATGGCAATGGGAAGCACAGTCCGCACCACAACCTGAAAATGTGTTTTGCCCCAAAAAATCCCATCTCAGCTGTGAAAGCCATGCTGGGGTTTCTGCCCGTGGACAACTCCCACAGCCATCACCCCTCCTGTGTCGCTGTGCCAGCAACAGCATCAGCTGTGCACCGGTGCTGAACTTCACCCGCACTGGGGCAAGCTGCAAATTTTATTCCCTTCCCTGGAGGGAGATGCCATTTAGGGTAGATCATTCCCCGGTTTATTTTTATGGCCCTATCTTTCTCAATTGGGGCTTTATCTTGGGGCTACGGCCTCGCTTTTGCTCGCTCCCCCAAGCGATTCAGTGCAGCAAGAGGAGGAATGCACATGTTGGGGGGGGAGGGATGCGAGTGTGTGTAAAATGTGTAGGGGGTGTGTAAAATATGTAGTGGTGTCTGCGTGTGTGCGTGTGCATGTGTCTGCTGGGATGCGAGCGTGTGTGTGTCTGTAGGGATTCATGCGCTCGTCAGTGCGTGTGTTTTGACAGAGACGGATATGCAGATGTCATTTCTTATCAACCAGATGTTGTTGATTTACAATCAAATATTCCTGCTCCTCCTAATATGGCAGTTTTCCCAAACTACTGTGCTTACATGTTTTTGCTTCGCTTTGTTTTATTTGCATGGTAATTTTTTTTTCCCTCTACAAAACAGTCCTATTTTTCTTCAAAGGAAAGCAGTTAACTTCAGGTCTGTTTTCTCCTAGGGAAATGCATTTAAAGCAAGCAGTGTGTCCTGTTTTATTAACTCCCAGTTCTATTAATATTATATTCTTTCTCCGAATCCATCAAGCAGAAGTTAAACTTGATTTTATAGCATCCACAGCGGAGTTATAATTTAAGGCATAATTTGGCGAGGGCTCAACTTGGATTCAGTTTGCCTCTCCTGGTCGTGCCAACAGCTCCTATTTTAAAGGGCAGGGAAGTATTTTCTTTTCTCCCTAGCTACGGTGAAACACTCTTTCTTCTCCAGCCTACCTCTGCTCCCCATGGCTCCCTGGCCAACCGGCGGACAGAGGAAACGCGACCATTTCACGCACGTTTAGGAGCTTCCCTGTTACATCTCCAGGAAAGCATCCAGGGTGTTAAATGACCTTTCTCCATTAAATAATAATAATAATAATAATCACATAATTCACTCTGTCAAGCATAAGGGAGCTATCCTACCTGCCTGTAAGGACAAGTAAAAGCCTTGCTTTCTACACCATTAGGGGAAACCACGCAGAGGCACACCAGGACAGCCCAAATTGCCACATTCTCATATATTTTGCTTTGTTTTGCTGGGGCAGGAGCAACCGACTGCAGGCACAGAGCCTCCCTTCCTGCCAGGGTCTCGCTGCCAACCCCGCAGCCCTCAGCCGGTAGGGAAGGAGCCGGCCCCGAAACAAAGGGACGAAGCGCAGCCAGCCCGGGTTATCAGGGCCCCCCGGCCGCCGAGGGGAGCGCCCGGCTCCCTTCTCCAGCGCCAGATTACGAGAGCCTTTGACCGATGGGGGGAAAGGAGATAAAGCCAACTTCCTCGGTTGGTCGTCTCCTCTCTGAGCAAACCATCCTGTTGAGCTCATTCCCCCTCGGCTCGCCCTAAAGTCTTTGGATGCTTTGTGCGCGTCGCCAGGAATAACAGGGGATGGGACAAAACCCGAGGGATGGGGAGGGCGTGTGGGGAGAAAGGAGGGGAGCGGAGAAGAAGGGGACCAGAGGGCCTCAAAAGGAGTTGTGGCAGGAGGCAGAGAGGAAGAGGAGACATGGTTTGCCCGGCCTCACCTTGTGGTTTTGGTAGGAGGTGACGGCGATGAAGGCGGTCTCGGGGAAGACGTGGGTGCAGAAGGCGGTGTTCTTGGAGCCAAAGCCGTTGTTCTCGTCCGCCTTCACGATGTGCAGCCGGGGCTGGTACTTGTGCATGGAGTTGAGGATGATCTGGGCATGGGGAGAAGGAGAGGACATCTCATGGGAATGGAGGGGGGGCACGATGCCGCGCGGCCCCCAGCCCGCAGACAGGGAGAGGAAAAAGAGAGGGACCAGCAGACACTCCCAAAAAAGTTTTTTTCCTCCTCAAAAGCTTCTCCTCTTCAGCCTCCCCCCTCAGCATGGATATTACTTGTGCTGGGGGCATCTCTCCCCAGAAAAGCAGCCCCCCCACAGCCAAAAGAGCCCATCAGGGGCTTTCTTTCTTGCCCCCTTCATTCCCCCCAAGCAGCACCCCTCTGTGGCTACAGGACAAGTTGGGTCCTTACCTGCTGCCCCCCTGCAGCCCTGGGTTGTGCTGCTGTGTTTCCCCCCCCAGAAACCCTAATACATGTTTCCACAGCCAGCGGGGTGCTGTTCCTACCCCCACAGCCCCCACCTCAACAGCACAGGCATCTCAGCCCCCCTCCCCAGTAACCCTACAAGATATGGGGAAAGAAGCGGGCGGGGGGGGGCGTGATTTAGTGCTCCCCCCAAAACCCACGACTCCTAGAGGATGAGGACAGGAGGGTGGCAGGGATGGAAGCGCTGATTCGGAGATAAAAAGCAGCCCCTCCTCGGTACCGGGTTAATCTCAGGGGACAGTGGCGGGGGGGTTCTGGGAGGAGGGGGGGGGGGGACACTGGCGACAGCGAGACGCAGCGCGCCCCGACGCCGGGCCCCGACGGCCTCGCCGCCTCCCCCGTCCCGGGGGTTTAAGCAAATTGCTTTGACATCCGGGAAAGCCGCAGACATCAACGGTGAACGATCTAATGGGTTTTAATTTCATTACCGCGACTCTAATTGAGAGGCTCCCGGTGCAGCTCCGCCTCTGAAGTCCCTTTTGTCGTCCCCCCAGAGCCTTGGCGTTGCTTGCAGGGACTTTTCCCCAGAGCCGCCTGCTCGCAGCGGGGGGATGCCTTCCCCCTCCACGCACACCCAAAAAAAAAATAAAAAGCCCCCCCCAGAAAAGAAAAAACCGCCCCGGGGGTGGGAGAGGTGCCCCCCGAGCTCCCCACCCATTTCCTGGCACATCCCGAGCCCTGGAAAGCAGCGCTCGCAAAGCGCCTCTCCCCAAGTCCCAGGGTAAAGGCAATAAAACACAATAAAATGAAATAAAATAAAATAAATTAAAGCATCCCCCCCGCGTGGAGACGGAACAGGGGCTAGGCGAGAGATGCTCGGCATTGGGGTGGGCTGGGGGCTCCGCCGGCCGCTTCTCAGCCCCCACGTGGGCGTGTTTAAGAACGCAAAATTTAACATTAAAAAGCGAAAAGGAAAAAAAAAAAAAAAAAAAAAAAAGGAAAAAAAAGCTTGGGGAGAAAAATGAAACTGAAGTGTTGAAATGAGACTGGAGAAAAATACGCTCTTGGAAGGGGGTGGTGGGATCTGGATTCGGATACTCGCTTAAGTAATTATATATATAATTTATATATATATATATATATATATATATATTATTCATACGTGCACATATACATTCGCTCAGAGAAACACGTATCTTTGGAGACCTTCGAAGGCGAGCTGTTTCTGGCTGCAGAATTCACACAAGCTTTCACGGTCCCTTGGGTCTAGCAAAGCCCTTTTTATGTCCAAGAAGCTCTTGTGGGATGTTTTTTTCTTCTTTTTTATTGTCTTTAATTATTGTTGCCTATTTTTTTTTTTTTTTTCCTTTGGATCGAGGGATCCGCATGGCTTTAGGTCCTATTTCCTCGAATAATTACGCCTGATAGATTTTACCTGTTAGCCAAATTCGCGGAGGCAGCGAGCAGATTTTACCGCTCGGAGACTCCCCATGAGGCTAAAATCAGGTAGCTAAATAGTCAATTAAGCCGGGCCCCGGGGTCTGTAATCAATTCCCACGCAGCGCTACGAAATAGCTTTTTTTTTTTCCTTTTTATTTTATTTATTTAAATAATTTATGGAATTTTTGGGGGTGCCCATCACTGGGGTTCATCCCACCCTAAAAGGCAGAAAATAACACCCCACCGTGACAAAGGGTTGGGACCGTGACCTTCTTGGCACCGGAGGGGTGCCACGCGTGGGGACGCGCCCTGGGGACACCCACGGGAGCACGCGTGGGTTGCCTGCCGCCCCGCCCCGGTGGGAAAACGCATCTCCCGACCCCAAAGCACCGTGGGGGGACTCACATGTCCGAAGGGGTCGAGGTGGTTGTTGGTGAGTTTGAGCTTCTGGAAGGACACCAGCTGCCGCATCCAGTGCGCTCCGGTGGCGGGGGAGTCGGGGTGCACGTAGAGGCGGCCGGGCATGGCCGGCTCTGCCTTCCCCGTCACGGACCTGCGTGGGACAGGGACACTGAGCTCCGGCGGAGGCACCCACACCCTTGGGTGTCCCAGCACCGCGCAGGTGGCCCCGGGTTTCAGAGGCAGCCGGGCGGTCTTCGGGAGAAAAGACATTTACAGACACACGCACGGCGCGGAGAATTAATTGAGAGCTTTGGCACTTTTCCCGTCCCAGATCGCTGTTTCCCCGTTTAACCCCATCCTTCCCCCTCCCTAATTACCGACACCCCAGCCAGGAGCAGAGCAACCGCGGCGTACCCGTCCTTCACCGTTTCCCTGCCCGCAGATATTTAATTACAATTAAACCATCCGCTCCTCAATAGCCAATAGTCCCCATCGTTAAATAGGATTGCAGGTATTGTTAGCTAATTGCAACTTTGTTTTTTTCCTTTTTCTTTCTTTTTTTTTTTTCCCCCTTGTTTATTTATTATTTATTTATTTATTTATTTATTTATTTTTAAGTTCCTCTCCCGAGGAGCATCCCGAAGCCCCAGCACCGACAAGAGGTGCTCGCCGCCGGTTCGCGAGCATCTCCCAGCTCGTGCTGCCCAGGTTTCCCGACACGAAGCAGCCCTCCCTCCCCTTCCCCCCGGGCTTGCGTACCATTTATTATCTGCAAATTTGTATCTGTGGTCATCCGCTGGTACAATATCCATCAACAGTATGTACTTAGTTTTTGGATTAAGTCCAGTGACCTTCACTTTGTAACTGGGGAACATGCGCCTGTAAAAGAAATAAGTACATCAGTATAAAAAGGAGAGAAGGGAAAGTTTCCCAAGGTGGTTTTGGGAGTGTGTTTGTGAGGACGAGCACTTGGGGGGGGAGAGGGGGGCAATTAACAGAGGGGCGATGCCGTGCTCTGGGGTGGCCCCTGCAGCCAGGCTGGGGCGTGGGAGCCGGGAGGGCTCCCGGCTGAGTCGTAGTTCCGAGCCTGGCAGCTTTATTTGTTTACCTGCTCGTGTATTCCTATCTTTGTTATCACCTATTTCGCCAATATTTCGATTCCCCGTTTAAAAAAATAAAATAAACAAATCCGGTCGTGAGATCTTTTGGAAGCGAGTTACTTTCCTGTTTGCTTAAAGTGTTGGAACAGCAGGGGAGATTTGCCAAAAAAAGAAAGTAAAAATATATATATTTCTGTAAACGTACGTATTTAAAAGACGTCTATTTCAACAAGCCTCCGTGTGTATCAACGGTTCTGTGTTCAGATGTGGAAAAAATACAGGCGCTCAGGTGTAACGCCGAATCTGTGCGCATACAAAGACATCAGCAAACACACCTGACAAATACTTGGAAACATTCAGATACACACTGAAGACAGGGGCTTTTCGAAATATTTTCCATTACTGCTGAGGCAGAGACTTAAAACACCGATGTTATTTTAGTTTGAGCTTTCCAAATATTTAAAAATAAAGCAGATGAAAACGTATCCCTTGACTTAAACCACGCATAAACAAAAAACCCCACACCTCTAAAAATACTGCACTCCTCTCCAAGCCTTGAGCTCTTATCTCTGCGATAGGGCATCTGGGCTGTTTTTTAAATTCACAGTAAAAAGCCGAAGGGGGAGAAAAAAAGGGCAATAACGGACAAAGTGGGGGGTTAGCCTTAACGTTTTGAGGGCGAAGAAACCAAACTCCACCTGAACGACAATCTGTAACTCCATCGAAAACACCTGACCAGCAAGATCCCGGACTTCTCCAACAATAAACAGAAGGAATTATATAAATAAGTGAAACTAGCCCATATCTGCCCTGGTGAAGCGTGTGCTCTCCCCTAAAGACCCCGAGCAGTAAATGTCTGTTTTATTGCTCTCCGGACGAGGTTTCTAGCCGTGGAGATATTTGTTTGAAATTTCTGCAAGGTGGTTCGTGTCTGTCTCCCTTCGTGAGCTGCTTTTTGGGAAAAATAAACTGCTTTTTCGCGAAGTCCCCGCACCCCTGAGCGGAGCCGGCGCCGAGCCACCGGCTGTCCCCAGCTCTCTCACCGCCGTTTTTCCTTTAAAAATCGCCATTTTCAGCTTGCAGAGAGCTTCAAAGGCAAGGCGAGCCGTGAGACAAATCTATTTGCAAAACTTTATGCAGCCGGCTCTTTTTTTTTTTTTTTTCCCCTCCCTCTTCAGGCAAATTTTGGAAGACCACAACAACTACCAGATGACAGAGCAAAATGAAAGTTTGGCTCCGCGTGGTTTGTTGTGCCCTCGCAATCTAAAGCTGTTTTTAAATCTATTTCTGTGCCGAGGCAGCAGCAGGTAAGTCGCTGAATATAACATCGCGACAAGAAGAGCCCCGCGACAGGAGCTTGCTGATGGGACCGGAGAAGCTGCCCCTGGGTCTCTGCCTTAGGTACTCCGTTTAACAGCCCTCCAGGACGTCAATATTAGGGATAATGTTAAATCGCCTCAAATATATTCGCGTACACATATAAATATATCTGCGGATCAGGTTTACTCAGCCACTCATGGAATCGATTACGCCCAGTCCCAATAAAGTTGGGTTTGCGAGGCTGTATATTTTTCTACACACCCACGCAGACAAACACACACGTATAGAAATGTGGATCTGGCCGCAGCTAGATACGCGTGCTATTTATTTGCGGGCACGTCTATCTCTGCATCTAAACAGCAGCGCTATCAGTACATAAACAGGAGCTTCAGACCACATCGACTTTTAAATGGGGTGGCGTGGGTGTTCTGGTTCTATTCTCCCCAATGAGCACACAATAAATAAGGAGCCTCGGGAAACAGCGGAAGGCATTACAAAATCGCAGAAGGACGGGGCTGCTCCTTTAATTAAAAATAATAATAATAATAATTAATAATAATAACGAAATCGCCCCGCGAGCTGCTCTAAACAAGGTTAGCTCTTGGCCAAGTGGTTGCAACTCGCGCTTGCCTGGAAAGCTTCCAAAGGCCTGAAATTGGGATTAACGATCCAACTGTTCTGGTTAAGAAAAGAGCCAGAAGAAACAATTTCTCCTCAATATATCCTCGCAGGGAGGGCCCGGCAGTGCCGGGGCAGAGCCGAGCAGCCCGGGCAATGCTGTGCGGGCTGCGACACTCCCCCGTGGCCTCTCCCACAGGAGACACGAACATCCCCGGGGCTCGGGGAAGCAGCGGCTGGGCATCCACAGAACACGCGAACACGCGTGGGGAGGCCCGGAGGGGCAGCCCAGTGCAAAGCGATTCCCACAAACACGCGTGAACCAAGGAGGATCCGGCCCCACGGCCCCAAAAAGGGGGCGAGGGGCTTGCTGGATGCTCGTCTCTTACCTTCCAGCCTTTGTTATGATCATCTCCGTCCCCACTTCGTGAAATTTCAGCCACAGCTCCCGCTCATGCAAAAACACTTTGATTCCTTCCATGCCCTGCAAGGGAGGGAAGCAGAGCCGGGTTACCCGCCCGGGGAGCCTCGGAGCCCCCAAACCCCGGGGAGAAGCCGGAGCTCGGTTTGCAGAGCCGGGAGGAGGCCGGTGGGGGGGTCCCAGGCCGGACCCCGGTGGTGCTGAGCAAGGGGAGCCCTGGGTAGGATCCTCGGTGAGCCGCGAGCAATACCCGGCTGCTCTCCCCCCACCCTAAACCAAGTACGTTTCTCCCCCCAAATAAAAAGCAAGGCCGAAGGCCGAGCAGGCACCGAGCGTGAGGTCTCCCCGTGAGGATTTACCCACGAGGAACACGGGGGCGAGCTCAGGTGGGGAAATCCCTCTCCCCCCCCCCCCCGGTTCCCCAACCCCCGCCTTGGCAATGCGGGGAAGCAGCAGCTGGTGTGCCCCCGGGGGAGCCCACGCGTGTCCCAGCACCACGCAGAGCCCCGGGGGGGCGAGGGCTTGTGGGGGGGTGCGAAGGGGACCGCCGGGGGTGCCTGGCCCCTGGTGGCTGCGGGGGTGCCCATGCGTGACCCCCCACTCGGGTGCGTGGGTGCGGGCAGAGCAGTGTAAGCGCACGCCCGGCCGTGGGGTGGGAGCTCGTCGGCGTGTAAATGTCACGCTGAGAGGCACGGGAGACCGTGGGCACGTAGAAATCCGTGCACACGGCCTCAGGGGGCATTTGCACACTCAGGTGTGGACGTGTGGGACCGTGCATGTCAGTGCAGGAGCCGTGCATGTTTCGGGTGGGTTTTCCTCCCGTGCCCCCCCCCACGCACCCCACGGACACGTTCACCATTCGCTCAGCGCCTGACCACGGCCCCGGATAATGGCAAAGCAGGGGGAAAAAAAAATACATTTCTGACAACCAGGTGGGAATTTTCTCTTCCGTGGGGCCTAAAAGGACTCCTCGCTGCCCAGAGCTGGGGGGAAAAATGCGAAGAAAGGGGAAAAATAAAAAGCAAAGGGGAGGCCGGCTGAGGCCGGATCCTTACCTGCTGGGTGAAGGCTGCCTGGGGAGAGGTGGGGGGCTTGCTGGGGGCCCCCAGCTGCGTGTCCTGCTTGGCGTCAGCCTGCAGCTCCTTGGCCTCCGAGTCAGCCGGCGTGGTGGGGAGCCCAAAGCCTTCCTCGCTATCCGCCATGTTACGAGCTTCCTTCGCCGAATCCCCCACTGCAGGCACACATCGGGGAGAGAGCAGAGATAAGAGACGCAGAAGTCAAGGCTGACAGTTTAATAAAATATATATATATATATAAAAATAGAGAAATTCACACGCACGGAGCCCGGCGCTGGCGGGGCTGGTGGGCGAACCCGCAACTCACTTCCAGCCACCCGGGGAAGGGAACGAGGCCCTTTAACTTTGGGAGAGGGAGAAATAAAGACTTTTATTTATTATCGCAGCCCGCAAGGGATGATAGGATTTGGGGGGGGGGGGGGGGGGGGAGGGGGAGAGGGGAGGCGGTATTATTAAATGCATCTTTTGGAAAAAGGTAAACAGCCTCTCTCCCGCAGCCCGATGGCAGAGCGCACCGGGGGGCTGCGTGGGGGCACCTGGCCGGGGACCGAGGGACTCATGGCACGAGTGGCAGAAGAAATGGGGTGTCCCCCCTGGGGGGGATGGCAGAGCCTCCCCCCGGCCCTGAGAGCCTCCCAGTCCCCGGGCCGAGGCCGGGCTCGCTGAGGCCGAGGAGGCTCCAAGCCTCCCCGGTCCTCCCAGGGAGGTGGGAGTCCCGCACCGCTTGGTTGCCACCAGGCAAATGCCTCCGAAAAGTGATGCCAGTTTGTGTAACCCCATTTTCTAAGAAAATCCAACTCTTTGCACCCCTGCGAAGCGCGACCTTTCTGCAAAAATAAAGCTATTTATTCACCCCCAAAACCCAACACCCCCCGCCCGAACGGTTGCAAGACAAGCAGCATCGGATGGACGAGACGACTGGAAAATAAAAGTGCAAGTAAATCCATCGGCCTAGATATAGTGCAAGGTAACCTGCGTACAGGCTTGGGGACGGGGTTACGCTTGGGGCTGAAGCGAGCGAAGCCCTAACGCGAGTAAAACTGCACCAGCAGAGAAAACCGAGCTTAAAAAATACGGCTTACATCCGATGCGAGTAACAACGGCGAGTTTTAAAGGCAGTATTTTGATGGAGCTTTAAGGGCTCCATCAGGAATGGTAAAAGTTTCAAAGCAGGAGGAAAAAAAAAAAAAGATAAAAGCGATTGAATTATCTGTTAGGTTTTTGTTCTTAAGGGGTTTAGAGTTTTAGCAGCTTAAAAAAAAATCTCTCGCATGTTTCAAAGAAGAGGATTCAATTTTGAAAGGCCAAGCATATGGAGACAATATTGTTTTTAAGTACATGAGAATGGTCTGAAATGAGTTCTCCTTCTCCATGCAACAATACGTAAACGCCTTTAAAAGAAAAATAAATAAATAAAATAAAATAAAAAGGCAATTCTCCTTTAAATGTAGAGGAAAATTGGGGAGGGGGGGGGGAATGATCTTCCTTGCTAGTGGTGGGCAATTTATACATGCAGTATATATAATTTAAAAGGACAAAAAGCGAAGGGACTCTGGGTCCACACCTCTGGAGCTAAAGATCATTCCCAGGACCGGCCGTGCCCCCCTCCCTCCCTTCCCAACGCTCTTTTCCCACAACGCCCCAGGCAGGCGGGCTGCGCTCGGGGGCTGCGGGGCGAGGCAAAACCGCGCAAAGTGCGCGCAAAGTGCGCGGCCGGCAGCGGGAGCCGGGCCCGGGGCCGGGCAGATCCCACGGGTTCCGGGGCAGCCCCGAAGCTCCCGAGACAGAGACCATGTAAGGCTTTTCTCTTCCCCTCCTCCTCTTTTCCCGAGCTGTTTTTTTTTTTTTTTTCCTTTTTCTTTCATTTTTTCCTCTTTTTCTTTTCCCTTTTTATTTTTTTTTCCCCTGCTGCAGCTTCGGAAATCCCAGCGACTCATTTTTAATCGATTTCCCTCCAGTTCCGATCCCTTATTGCCCCCCCACCATGAGCCGGCAAAGTTCTGGGGAGGGCGATGGAAAAAAAAAGCATGTTTTATTAAAACAAAGAGGGACCCAGCTATGGGGAGCCCGGCTCCAGCGAGCCTCCGCAGAGCGCTCCGCATGCCGGTGGGTCCAGGCATAATTAAACACATTTTTTAAAAAATAATAATAATTGAGGAGGGAGCGGGGGGGGGTCAAAAAAATAACCCACCAACTCGGAGCAATTGGCGAGCCGCAGCTTCTAATTTTTTCCCCTTTAAAGAGCTTCTGAGAAGAAATGGAGCTTGACAGAACCAGGCCGCGGCGGCTGTATGAAAAATGCATCTCGCTTTGCTAAAGTAGCACCAAGTGGGTTTGCAATAAAGAGAAAAAAAAAAAAAAGGAAAAAAAAAAAACACCCTAAGCCTTTTGTTCCAGCCTGTGCTCGCTTCGCCCCGCACGCAGCGGCCCCCCCAGGCCCCCCAGCCAGCCCCGGGAGCCCTGCAGAGAGCGGCCCCCCCTGCACCCCGCGGCTCCCGGGGCCTTGCAGGCTCTGCACAGACAATTTGTGTACAACAATGACCCCAGCCAGGCACTTTCGCTCTCTCCCGGTCACACACGCACGCACACACACATATTACAGACACCGACGGACATACATGGCAATGGAAGAGCTGTTACCTTGCTTGTTGAATTCCATGCAATCAATGCATCTCCATATATATATGTGTGTGTATATTTTCCCCCTTGGCAATGGAAATTACAATGGGATCAGGCTTCTCGTGTGCATATTTCCTTTTATTTATTTATTTGCGGATCAGCATGTGAAAACCCAGCCTGGAAGAAAAAGATCTATCCAACGCAAGCTGCTTGCCTGCTTGCCTCTCTCTCTCTCTCTCTCTCCTGCTCTCTCCAAACACTTCCAGGTTGTCAGACGCACTAGAAAGGATCCTGAGACCAAGATAAAGCCCCCACCCCCACCCCTTTTCTCAGCCTGCTCTGGAAGACAGTTTTCCCCACCCCACTCTTTCCTACTCCCCCTCCTCAAAATAGCGATAATAATGAAAAAAATATACTAATAATTTAAGAAAAAAAAAAAAAAAAAGAGGGAGGGGACGAAAGAGAGGAAAAAGAGCACCCTCCTTTAAAAAATAAATAATTTTTAAAAAAGCAAATTGCCGAAAGTTCCGGGCGGGCGGGCAGGGGCTGCGCGGAGCCGGGCGCGCTGGGCTGCGGGGCGCTGCGCGGAGCGCGGAGGTGCCGCGGGCTCGTCCAGCTCCGCTCGCCAAGTGCCGGGCCCCGCTGGCCAACCAGCTGGGAGCCTGCTCCGGAGAGACTCGCTCTTCCTTCCCCCCCCCCCCCAAGCCCTCCCCTCCGCCCCCTCCCCCCCAAAGCTCCTTTTTTTTTTTCCAGCCTATTTTTCTGGCCGGCAAACAAGAACAAGGCACAAAGACAATCGCCAAACTCCCCAGCAGCCCTCCCCCTCTGCCTTACCTCCTCTCCCTCCCTCCCTCCTCCATCCATCTCTCCCAACCAAAGAGAAAATTCAGCGCCTGGGAATATTCCCCCCCTACTCCCCCCAACCATCCACCCCCCTTCTCCTCCCTCACCCCTTTAAATAAATCGCTGGCTCCGCTAACCTCACACCACCCCCGGCCCCCCCTGCCCTCAAAGGCAGCCTGGAGGTGTGGATTTGCACCCATCTCCAGCTTTGCTCACAGAGGCCCTTTTTTTTTTAATTATTATTTTTTTTTATGTGTATGGGGGGGAGATCCCCTCTGAAAGGACTCTCCTAACCTGGCCAAAGGGATGAAATACAGAGAAGTGGGGCTAAAACACAGCCGAAGGGGGACCCCTTGAGCTTTACACCCCCTCGAGCCCCTCTCCATCCTCTTCCTCGCCCCGTTGCCCGGCCGAGGGCCGCAGCCCCCGGAGCCTCCGCTGTGCTCAAATAATCAAGCCGTCAGCAAGGAGCGGGGATGTGGCTTTATCTGCATCTTCCTTCTCTCCCTCCTCGCTCGCTCTCTCTCTCTCCTTTTTTTTTTTTTAATGTATTATTTTGAGGGTAAAGTTGAATAGGTCAGCGCAGGGTAAACAGCCTCCCTGTCGCATTCTGCAGCCTGAAGAGAACCAGATTGGCGAGTCGGATTTTTGATAAGACTTGGAATAAATGGCATGGTTTAGATCTGCTCTGCCCACCCTCCTCCTCCTTCCCCCACCCTTCTCCTTGCCCCCCCCCAACCCCCCCGCCCCCCCAAACCTTCGCTCTTTTCTCCTTCTCGGACATTTCTCGTGCATTTCGCCGAAGTTTCAGCAAATCGAGCCTTGCTCCGAGCCCTCGCAGGGCGCGATAACGCCGCAACCCCCCGAAAAGTTGGAGGTGAGCAAAAAAATAAAAATAAAATAGGCACCGGGCGAAAAGTCCGCGGGGGTGAGTGGCTCCGGGGGGGAGGGGGGGGGGACATGTGTGGGTGTAAATTTGGCATCTCCCAAACCCTCCCCGGGCGCACGCCAGTTCCACAGCGACTCGAGGAGACCCAGCACACGCTAAACGGTTGCAAATCAGAATAATAAAATAACTGCACTTGTAGCCGCAGAGAATTAGCCAACGAACGCTACTTAAACAAACAGAACAAAGCTAGTCCCATATTTCATTATTTTTAGAGGGAAACGAGCCGTGGAGCCCTTCCAAACACAAACAAACGAAGGAGCAAACCGGGCGGGTCTTCCCCCGCGGGTGCCGCAGCCCCAAGCCCCGGCCTGGGTGCTGGCATGGCGAATGCTGGAGGAGCCCTTCCATTCCCTGGCCGCCCTCGGAAAGGTGCAAATTGGGGGGAAAACAAGAAAAGCAGCAGCTCCCGTCCAGGTTGGGGGAAAGCCGGGCCGAGGGGAAAGCAACGGCTGCTGGGGGAAGGTTCCCCAAACAGCCAGCGAGCCCGAGATTTTTTTTTTCTCCTTAAAAAATAAATCCGAGCAGCGAGGGAAAAAGGTTGCCCGCAGCTGGGAGCGAGAGAGATCACCACCTCCCCTCGCCAGAAAGAAAGGGAAAAGTGAAAATCTCGAAGTTTGCAGGAGCACGGCTGCTGCCCGCTGCCTGAAAGCACTGCTAGCGCAAAGCGAGCACTCACCTCTCCAATGCCACACTAGCTCTCAAACACCTTGAAGACAAGTTGAAAACGATGCAAATAAATCGAATTTATTTCCGTCTGCAGGTTGGGGGGGGGTGAAGAAGGAGGAAAAAAAAAAAAAAAAAAAAAAAGCTGGGAAAAGGACCGCAAGTCCAGGCTCTCTAGGACTGTAATGTCAATGCGAAGGAGCCTTCCAGCTAGAAGCCGATTTGTGGTCTCAGACAAATTAAATATTACTGTTTATTACCAGCCATACTCCAATAAAATAAAGAGAGTTCAAGGCGATAGCTGCTATCTCACGAGCTTTGCTCCTATAGGACACGGAGACGTCACCAACCACGCAACTGGCCTATTCTGTCATGGTTGACTGCAGCAGTAATGGAAGGTTAATTTGTATTATTCTCCTCTTTTAAAGCCCTATCAGTGAGATTCCTGTTTTTTTTTTCTCTCTTTCTTTTTTTTTTTTCTTTCCTTTTTTTTTTTCTTTTTTTTCCAAAGAAACCGGCGCAACGCAAACTACGCCGAGGCTGGCCGTGCTCCTCTGCGTGTGTGCACCCTCCCATATAGATGCGAGTGCACGTATAGACATGAATATATAAGACACACAACGCACGCACATGTATATATGTGGGTGTGACGGAGTGCGTGTTATATATGTGTGTGTATCACCCAAGCAGGCACGGAGTCGCTGGAAACTCCAAGAAAACCCACTCTTTCTTGGGGCGGAAAAGGGGGAAACCAGTAGCAAAGCTCCCGCTTCATCAGGAGCAGCCCGGTTAATCCAACCGTATTGGCATTATTCAGCTTAATTTTTAAGAAAAAAAAAAAAACGCTATTAGAGTGAGCAGGAAACTTGTCAAATGAATGCTCAGGCACCTCTGGAAGCAAACACTCTGGGCTATATATAGTAAATGATAACCTGGTTATTTGCACAGATTCAAGCGTGCTTCGGGAACCAATTATTTGCTGTGATTAAAAAAAAAAAAAAAAAAAAAGTAGTAAATCGAGGCGATTATTTGCCAAATGAGATTGACAAGGAAAAAAAAAAAAAAAAAAAAAAAGCCCCAAACCCCCAAATCCCTCCAGCGCAGCCAGTGGCTGCAGAGGAGCCGCGGCGCTCCCTGCGTCCCAGCGCCTTTCCTATTAACCTGCGGGGATTTTTGCGATGCAGTCGCGGCAGCTTGCGGCAAACATTTCACCAAAGATGCTTAAAACGTTCTTTCCTCCAACAGAAAAAAAAAAAGAGAGAGGAGGAGGAGGAAGAGGAGGAGGAGAAATAGGGAAAGAGAAAATAAAGAGCATCACCTAAAGAAGAGCGAGAAGTTGCTGCAGGATCTGGACACCGGGTAAGTGTTCCCAAAAAGGTCCCCCCCAGCCCTGCCGACATTCGGGGCTCCTCGGGAAGCAGGCCCTGGCAAAAAGCAGCCGAGAGGATGGAAAAAAAAAAAAAAAAAAAAAAAGGGGTTCGGGGAGAAGAAGCCCCCCACCCGGCCCCCATTTACCCTGCATGGCCTTCAACTGGGGACACCCGTTCAAATGAGGGGTGGGGAGGGCGAACCCCCTCACCCCCCCCCCCCCGGCAGCCTAGGGACGATCATGCCCTTTGCAATGCCTGCCCTGCTGCTTTGGAGCCGCCAAACGCGGCCCTATAACGGGCCAAACCCAAGCAGTCGGAGCAGAGCGGCAGCATATAGGAGCCTATATATATATATAAATATATATATACGTGACCCAGAGGTGTGCGCGCACGCCCGGGGGCGAACACACGCGCGGTTTGCCAAAAAAATAAACCACGCAGGCACGGGGCCTGTGTCCTCGATAAAGAAATGATGCAAATTTTATACATGGAGGCTGCACGTGGGACGCACACGCGTGCAGAAAGACATCGGTGAGAGAGAATATGAGAGCTGTATGGATGCCCAGACACGCGCATCGCCAAGCCACACGTGCAAATAACGAGGCCGCCGTGCACACGCACACAGCAGCATTTCCGCGTGTGCAAGCCACCCGTGCTCCTGCCGCTACCCACGCGGGGCTCTTTCCATTCCCAACTATATTTCCCGCACGCATTTTGGGTGAGCACAAGCAGAAATCCGCCTCCACCCTCTGGATCCCGCTGCTCGCTCCCCAGAGTGCGTGCAAAGCCGTGCACACCCCCAAAAAAATAAAAAATAATAAAAAAAAATTCTGGGGAGCGGACAGATGTGCGCGCACCGCCTATACACCGATCTATAGGTCCGCACTCGCTGAAATCCCCAAGCATCCCTCAGCAGCCACGGGCCCGAGCACCCCCCTCTCACCGTGGGCACTTACCTGTGTGGGCCGGGGGTGCGTGGCCGGGTGGGGGAGCCCTCTCAGCCCCCCCCCGGCTCGCTCAGCTCCTCTCCACCAGGGCAGGATCAGGCCCCCTCAACCCGGGCCCGGCCTCCCCGCGCCCGGGGGTCGCAGACCACGGGGAGCCCCCGCTTTTGGGGGTGGCATGGCTGGAGCCTGGTGGAGCCCCCCCCCCCCCCGCCTCCTCCAGAGGGTGGCAGGGGGGCCCTCGAGGTTTCTCCTGGCGGGTTTCACCCTGGAGAGGAGGCGGCAGGGGGGCACGGCCGGGGTGCCGGTTTGCAGTGGGGTCGAGGTGTCAGCAGTAAGAAATAGTGCGGAGCGAGACCTCGCCCCCCCAGCCCTACTCGCTGCCTTTAAAGCCGCTTTTTGGGGCCGCACCACAGCCCGGAGCCTTTCCGCTGCAGCTCCCCGGGAGCGCCCCTGCCCAGGGCCGGGGCAGTGCGCCGCTGACCGCCTCGGAGCTTATAAAACCTATATACTGCAGCATTTTTGGCTCTCTAACTCCATTTTTTTTTCCAGCTCCCCCATAGCAAGAATATATTTTTTCCACTTTTAGGTAATTTACTTCTCTCCGACCAATTCTCCCCTCTTTTATTTCTAAATCCTTTTTTTTTTTTTTTTTTTTTTGGCCGCATACCCGCTTTGGCGAAATACGCACCTGGGAGAAAACAAGTATTTAAAATAATCATCCTCTCTGGAAGTACTTTGGTCCATTCACTCTTCTTTTTATTCCTTTTTTTTTTTTTTTTGGGGGGGGGGGCGGGGGGGAAGCAGTGGCTCGCTGTATTGATTTGAGGGTTTGTCAGAAAGATGTTTGTCTCAAAGTAACACAAACACAGCTCTCCTCGTCTCACTATTTCCACTTTCGGTGGTCGAGAATTTCTACGTTTATAAGAGCCTTTGGTGTAGATACCTGGGTCGAACTTTTTGTTTGTTTTTTCGTTATTACAGGTGAATAGCATTTTTTTAAAAAGTTTGTGGTTTCGGGTCTTTCTTCCCGCCCTTCTTACTACTTAAAAAAAAAAAAAAAAGTTTGCAATTAAAAAACACCCCCTCCTCCCAGCCCATTAATTTCCCAGGAAAAGTCCAGGCTTTAAAACACTGACGAAAATGAAAAATAACCAGCGGGGCAGAGGCAGGGCTGCAAAACGTGGCGCTGTGCAGGCACCAGCGCTGCCTCCCACGCGTGCCCGTGGGATGGAAATCCCTTTTTTTTCCCTTTTTCCCCCCCTTCAAGTCCCAGCTAGCAACCGGGGAGCGGGTGAAGGAGTCCCAAAATCAGGCTAGAAGCATCCCCGGAGCAAGAGGGACCCATTCTCCCAGCCCTCTCCGCCTCCAAAAAGGCATTTTAACTGCATCCCGAGGGGTGCCCGGGGCTCGGTCCCCTCCCCAGATTTTCCTACTCGCACAGTGCCGCCCAAGGAATGGGGACTGGGCTTTTTTCTCATTTCCCCCCTTTTCAGGGAGCCAGCTCGGGGGGTAACTTTTTGGCACGGGGTGCTCAGCATCCCCCTCCCCGCCCTAATCAATGCGTCCCGATGGAGCGAAGCGCATTATTGATGCCAGAATAGAAACGCTAATCTGCCATCGCCAAACAGGGTGTCAATCAGGGCTTTATCTCGGGCCGAAGGAGAAAATAAAAGAAGATAAGGCCTCACTCTCGCCCTGGGAAGAAAGCTGAAGGGGGCAAGAGGGGGAAAGTCTTCAGCGCCCCGTGCCTTTCGCTGAAAGTGATCTTGCAATGACCTTGGCGGGGGAGCCGGGGGCGGGATGGCCCGGGCTGGGCTGGGGAGAGGGGCCCGAGGCCACCCCAGGGCCACCTGCCAGCTTCATCCCGTCCCCTCCTGTGCCGCAGCACGGCCCCGGCCCCAGAGGGGACAAGGGACGGGAGTGGGGACAGCACCCCGGGCACGGCGCAGCGCCCTCGCCCCGCCACGTGTTCTCTCTCCCTTACTTCCCAACACTTTTTTCTTTTTTCTCCCTCTCTCCCTTTCTATTCCCTCTTCTCGCCTTCTTTCTCCTTTTCCCCGTTTTCCCTCATTTTCCCCGTCCCCGTCCTATTTCTTTCCCCTGCCCTAAATAACGCAGAGCGAAAGCGCGGCCAAGCCTGGCTGAAGTCATCCTTGATAATAACGGGACCACCACGCGATTTGGGGTCCGGATCCCCTCCCCAGCACCCAGAAAGGCGAATGCGGTCCCCAGCTCCACTCCCATCCCGGGGACAGCGGCTGGGAACTTCCAGGTCCCGGCTTCGGGCGGGTGGCAGGGGCATCCCCCAAATCCGCGTTGTCCTCGCGGTGAAAATACAGCTCCTATGTGTTACCCAAACGGCTCCTAAATGGGACGGTGTGGTGGTGCTCCCCAACTAACGTTAGGCGCATAACAATAATAACAATAATAATGTGAAATATTCACAGAATGAAGAGACCAGGAAAAAACGAACCTTTCCTCCCCCATCCATAGCCTTGCCCCTTGTGCAAGTGTTGGATGAGGCCGCGATCTGTAAATCTCAGAGCCCTGCGCTGCAGCACCGAAATTGGTTTGGGGGCTGGGGGCTGCAGGTCGCTGTCCCCAAGGGTTTTTTTCCCCACGGATATGAGGAATGGGGCTGAGAGTTTGGATGCAAAGGGCTGTTCGGGGTGACACTCGGCTGGGTGAAGACCGTTTCATGCACACACATGCGCGCTCCCCTAAATATGTAATAAATATATATAATGTACATCGCCATATATTTATACCTGTTTCACCTATATTAAGCGTTCAAGCTGGGTACGTCCTTGTCTATTTTGGTCTAGATGTAGCGGTGGCTGTGCACACCCCCCCCAAAAAAAGGATGTTTTCCCGTATTTAAGACAATATCAACAGCTCTTTTCGTGCCCAGCGGCTGTTTTTTGGAAGCAGCCTGGTGTCTTTGCTTTCTTGCCCGTGCATTTGCAGGCTGCCAGCGCAGCTCTGGAGAGCACTTTTTGGGTCCCATGCGCTTGGAAACCGTTCACTTCCAAAGAATAAATATTTTATGCTTTGGAATAATAATTAAAAAATAAAGAAAAGAGCTCAAATCTCCGCGCAAAGCCCTCCCCCGGTGGAGCCGAGAACCCGGGCACTACCTGCGGCTCCGAGCCCGGTTCCCCCCTCGGCTGCCGGCCCCCGGAGGCCGGAGCAGCCGCCGTTCGAGACAATGCCTATTTTCTGTCATTAATAACTTGTTTCTTAAAAAAAAAAAAAATCTCGTTTGGATCCAAGATTGTTTTTTATGATTCAGTTGGACAAGACGGAACACATGTTAGTTTAAGCAGGTTCATGAAATAGCTGTAAATCAAATAAAGTTTACGAGTTTAGCAGGAAATACTGAATAGATGAAAAAAAAAAATCCGCCGAGGCAGAGAACAGCAGGCTAAAATAGTTGGTGGAGTTTGTCCTGCTCTGTGTTTCTCTCTGTTCTCTTGTGCATCTTGCCGATTAAAGGCCTCGAGACCCCGTGTTGGCGCCAAGTGGCATGTTATTAATCAGTTATCCGTAGGTTCAGTCCACATAAGAGAGAAATTTAATCACCAGAAACCAGACCCGACATAAAAGAGAAATCTAAAATCAATTCCCGCCCGCCTCTCCCCCCCCCCCGCCTCCGAAGCGATCAGAACGAGCAGAAGCAATCAAGATCTCGCTCCCTCTCCCTCTTAATTGCACCGGGCGAACCGCAAACTTCTTAGAGCTTTACCCCAAAGAGAGTTTAGAAAAAAAGAAAAAAAAAAAAGGGGGGGGGGGGGGAAACTAACGACTCGCCACCACAACGCAACAAGCTTATCCTTGATCTCACTATAAAAACGTGATGGGGGAGAAACAACCCAGGCGGAGCCTTTCATAACGGAAAAAAATATATAAAAATATATATTACAACGAAACGCGCTGCTAAAATGATCTTTGAAGGCTCCCCGGGAGGGGTGCCCCCGCTCCAGGTGCTGGCAGGGGGTTCGGCTCCCCCGGCAGAGGTGAGAAGTGCTGTCCCCTCCTTGTCCCCCACCACATAGGCATCAGTGGTCCAAAAATAGGAGGAATCCGGCAAAATCCCCCTCGAGGACAAGAATAGTGCTGGGGGACTCTCTCCCCAAAATTCTGTCCTGCCCCCAAGCCCCGGAGCTGAGCGTTTCCTTTGGGCGTTCCCCCCACACCAGCACTGCGCCCTTTTTTCCTCCAAGGACTTTTGGGTGGGATTTCCCAGTTTTTGGTTAGGCCGCGTGGTTACGAGAGGAAATTCTTGGCCCTCCGCTGCGTGGGTATCACGGCAGGCGGGGAAAGTGCCCTGCTTCGGGATGGAAGGGACAGGAGGTGACAGCAGTGCCCCCCCCACGCCCGGAGGACACGAAAATTCAAACATGGGGAGCGCAGCATCCCCTTCTCCCCCTCAAAATAAACAAATAAATTAATTAAATAAAACAATCCACTTCCCAGGAAAAGTGAAGAGCAGCTGGGCTCGGCGGCTTTCCACGCGTGTTTTGCGTGGAAGGCTCGACCCTTGAGGCTACCCAGCTTCCCCCCCCCCCGGCTACCGGGCACGGCCCGGGTGGGGGCTGCGCTGGTGAAGGGCACCGGGAGGAGGCGGGGGGACACGGGCGCTCCGGGGCTATATTTGGAAAAGAATTTCCAAGCCCTTACAGCAAATCTGTGCGAAAGGTACGGGCCCGATGGGACAGGCTGCCCTGGGGGCTGCCCCTTCCCCGTGTCCCCCCCATTCCGTGTCCCCCCGCTGCCAGCCTCCGCGTCCCACCCGCGGCGGGGACGGCGTTTATTCCTCGAAAGGGGATAGGAAAAAAATCCCGTGCTAAGTTTTGCCTGCCCAAATCCGAAGAGAAACGCTTCTCCCCGGTCTAACCCTCCAGCCCCGATGGCCAAAATTTACCTAACGGCCCCCCCGCGATGGTGGGGATATCCGTGGAGCGGCTTTGAGCTTGCCTGTGCCAGCTGGATTTGCTTGTTCTGCCTTAAAAAAAAAATAGCAAGGGGCTATTTTCGTTCCCCCCCGACCTCGAGGGGATAAGGGATGAGGAAGACGCCCCACCTGGGCTGACCCGACTGGGGGATTTTAACCCAAAACCGAACTTTAGCCCGCCTTTTCCATCATCTTTTCCCTCCACCGACACTCTCCCCTAAAAAGCCTCGAAAGCAGTCATTTGGCTTTAGACGCCTGACCTTTTTTTCCCCCCTCCACGCTGTATCTGATCGTTTTCCTCCAGCCCAAATAGACTGGAAACCACAGAGAAAATAATCAAAGTGCAGCATGTTTTCCCACAGTAGGAATGCATGTTAGCACTCTCTCCACGTCTTGATCCTCTGTTTGCGTGTGGGTATTCCTGGGGAGATGCGTGCAGGGCGGATCTCGCCCAGATGCACGACGTCTTCTGTTTTTTTTTTTAATCCCCCCCCGGTGCCTCCAGCCACCCAGCGGCCGGACAGACGGCCGGCTGAGAGCCCCTTGGCCTCGGGGTGCCAGCTGCGGGGAGCTGAGAATTTGTATGGAAACACAGAAAAAAAGGGGAAAAAAAAAAATGCGTGCACGGTTGGGCACCCAGCCAACTGCTACGCACCCGAAGTGGGGTTCTTGGTACGCACCCGCATTCATGGGTGCCCCCCACCCTGTGGGCTCACTCCCACCCATGGGTGCCACGGGATCCCCGGAGCCTTGCCCTAAGCACGCGTGGGCTCAGCCGGAGCGCAATGCTTGGGGGGAAATGGAAAAATAAAAGGGAAAAGGATGGGGGGTGCCCTCCGTGCTGCGACCCGAGCCCCCTCGTGCCCTGGCACCATTACAAGGGGAGGAAGAGGAGGGGAAGAAGGCTCGCTGAGGAGCACAAAATGGTTTTGCACCCCCCCAAGCCCTTCCGTAACCCCTCCTCTCCCCCCCCCTCCTGCAGCTGCGCGGCGTAGGTAGCTCCAGATAAGTGAAAGTGGTATTTTTATAGGCTGATAAAAGAAACTTATCTCGGCTTGCCCGAATCTGACAAAGATTCCCTAATTGGGCATTTGCCCACACCAGCTTCCCCAGCCCGGAGCTCGGCTATTTTCAGCCCTCCAAGGGGGTGTCGGGGCCCCAGCCCCCCTCATTTCCAGCCCCAATCTCGGAATTTCCCAGCCCGACGACCCCCGCAGAAATCCCACCTCGGGGCTGCCCCAGCCCCCTGTGTCCTGGCAGAAGAAACCTCTAAACTGCCGACGGGGGCTCCCCATGACACTCGGTTCATTTCATCAGCTGTAACACTAAGTAAATCAATTAAAAAATCACGAAGAAAGGAAATGAATGGACTAAAGCTCTCTTATGTATGGGCAACGGGTGGGGATGCGCTGTTTTGCACGACTCTGCCTCCTCCTGCCCACCGGGTGCAGAATTTAAATAGAAATTTAAATAAACACGAATTTAAATAGAAATATAAATGTAAATAGGAATTTAATCTCTGTTTGCATATCCCAGGGCACCCCCAGACCTGCCATAGGGCTCGGCAGCCACTACCCATCCCTGAGAGGATCTGCCAGTCCCGGCTCCGCTGCTCACATCAGCTCCACTTTTCTCCTCCTGTGCTTTTCAATCACCAGGCTACCACCAAACCCAAAGAGCACAGAAAACATCCTCAATCCTAAACAACCAGACCTTGCAGCCTGCTCACATCACAAGCCTCAAAACGAGCTGGGAAGTCGCCCGCTAAACTTATTTCTCATTTTCCTTCCCTTTTTTTTTTTTTTCCTGGGGAAGGGGGAAGGGTTGGGGGATTAACGGCCCATCTGACCTACCAGTGGTGTACGCACATGAATCAAGCACAATCAAAGGGCCCAGTGTCAGCATTAGCTTGACCCCTACGACTGGCGCAGGACTCAGAGCGCAGCGAGGCCTGCTCTGGCCGCAGCACCAGGAACCTTCCCCAGGTTATTAATGCCTGCAGAGGGCTCTGCCTGGCAGCCTGGGTTGGGGTTACAGCCACACGGGGTGCAGGGAAGCACTGGGGACTGTCCCTGGATAGACCCACTCCAGCAGCACCGGCAGGGTGGCCCCACTCGGCGAAGCCCGAACACATCTCACCGCATCAAACTGTCCACTTGGAATCACGGAGAAGTGGAAATTGGGTGGGTTTGTGGGTTTCTTGGTTTCTATTTTTTTCTTCAGGAAGTACAGAGAACTGTATGCTCACACTTTTTGTCACTCCATTTGCCATGCGTGCTTTCCCTGCAGTGGTTTGGAAGGAGATGATGCTCAGGTTCCCCTTGGCCACTCTCTGGCTGGGAGAAAGACAAACCCCACGAAAACAGGCAAAGATCTGGCCCCAGTGACTGGGGACCCACAACAAGCTCCAGATTCAGCCTTGAGGCTCAACAGGTTCTGAACACGGAAGAACTGAACCCTTCCAAAGTCCAGACAGATACCTCAAAGCCAAGCCAGCTTTCACAGGTCTTCATTAAAAAGGGTGACACTCAAGCGCATCCTTTAATTCGTTTTTCTCACAGAGAGGAATGAAGAGTGCATCAGTTCCAAAATCAAGACCCCAGTAGCAGAGCAGCTTGATACTGACGCAAGAATTTTGGAAAATAGCTCATGATCCCTCTTCTCACTGAATTTTCCCCCCACCCAAGAGGAACACTCAAATTAACAAGAGATCACCAGCAGGGAAAGCCGTGTGGCCGCTGCTCTGCGGGAGCAGGCTCTGGAGGGGATGTGCACGGTCCTGTCAAAGCATCAAGTTCACCCT